GGGGGGGGGGGGGAGGGGGGGGGGCCGGTTGGCCATGGCAACGGAGCCGAGCCGAGTGGGGCCGAGCCGGGCCGAACCCGGGGCCCAGGGGGGCCGAGCGGTACCGGACTGAGCCGAACGTGGGACCGAGCCGGGCCGAACCCGGGGCCGAGGGGGGCCGAGTGGTACCAGACTGAACCGAACCGGGAGCCGAGCGGTACCGGACTCCGCCGAACCCGGGTCCGAGTCTTTCCGAGCCGGGCCGAACCTGGGGCCGAGCGGTGACGGGCGGTACCGGACTCAGCCGAGCGTGGTGCCGAGCCGGGTCCGACCCGGGACCGAGCGCAGCCGAGCGGTACCGGACTGAACCGAACCCGGAGCCGAGCGGTGCCGGACTCAGTCGAACCTGGGGGCGGAGCGGCTCCGAGACGGGCTAAACCCGGGTCGAGCGGTACCGGGCTGAGCTGAGTGTGCCCCGAGCGGTTGTGAAGGGGTGCCGAAGCGGCCCGGTCCGGTGTAACGGAAGCCCCCTCAGGAGCTGCCCCCCGCTGTGCCCCGCCGCCGCCATGCTGATCAAGGAGTACCACATCCTGCTGCCCATGAGCCTGGAGGAGTACCAGGTGGCCCAGCTGTACATGATCCAGGTGGGGATGTGGGGCTGAGCATGAGGGCCTGGGGGAGCTGCGGGGCTGAGCGGGGCACGCTGGGGTTGCAGGGGTCTGGGGGATGAGCCTGGGGGCTTCACGGGTCTGCGGTTTGTGGGGCTGAGCCTGAGGGATGTGGGGTCCAAGTGCCAAGAGTGAGCGGGTGCACAGGGCTGTGGGGCTGGGTATGCGGAGCTGGAGGGGTGCAGGGGTCTGGGGACTGAGACTGAGGGGGTGCAGGGGGCTGAGAGAGGTTGGAGATTGTAGTCTGAGGGGAGTAGAGGGCTGTGAGGAAGCATGAACCGTGCAGGGGCTGAGCCTGGGGGTGCACAGGGGGCTTTGAGGCTGATGATGGGGTGCTGGAGGGAGCAAGGGGGCTGTAGGGCTGAGCATGGAGCCTGGAGGGGTATGGGGGGCCCTGAGGCTGATCCCAAGGGACTGGCAGGTTGCAGGGTTGTCACTGAGGCTTCAGCTGGGTTTGGGACCACGGGGCCAAGCAGGGGGTCCTGTGAACAGGTGTGGAGCTGGGGATGCCAACACGTAGGGACAGGAGTGTTCAGGGATCCTGGGCGCCCATGGGCATCTGGGGTCTTGGAGAGGCTGCACTGAGCCATCATCTCTGTGCAGAAGAAGAGCCGTGAGGAGTCGAGTGGCGAGGGCAGTGGCGTGGAGATCCTGGCCAACCGACCCTACAGCGATGGCCCCGGGGGCAGTGGCCAGTACACCCACAAGATCTACCATGTCGGCTCCCACATCCCCAGCTGGTTCCGGGCACTGCTCCCCAAAGCCGCGCTCCAGGTGGAAGAGGAGTCCTGGAATGCTTATCCCTACACACGCACCAGGTGGGAGCTGGGAGGCGGCGGGGTGGGTTGCAGGACTGGCCATGCCCCTAGGCTCAGTCCTGTGCCCCTCCAGGTACACATGTCCCTTTGTGGAGAAGTTTTCCATTGAGATCGAGACGTACTACCGCCCAGATGCAGGGCAGCAGACCAACATCTTCAACCTGAGTGCGGCGGAGAAGAGGCAGAGGATTTTGGGTGGGTATGGCTGGCTTGGGGAGCTGGGCAGGACACTGTGGCTGCTGGGATTCCCACATAGTGCTTCTGGGATGGGTGTGTGCTTGTGATGGGGCCTTAGGGGCTCAACTTCACTCTCCTTGCTGGTCCTCGTGTTTCAGGGATGCTGGAAGGAAAGAGCTCCCTGGATCCTGAGCTCCCTGCCTCAGGCTCCCTTCTCCGAGTTCCTTGCCTGCTCCCTCTCAGCACTGCTGAATTCAGTTCCGCATTAAAGATATTTTCAGGGACGGTTTTGTCCTCTGCCTCTTCCCTTGCCTCTATTTCTGTTTGTAGCTTCTCCTTCCTAGTGCCAGCCTGCTCCCCTCTCCTTCCATGTCCCAGCCTTGTTCTGAATGGATTTGCCTTGTCAGTCTCTCCTGGTGTACATGGCAGCCCACACCTGGGTCCTGTGAGGTGTTTTGGATCAGCTGGAGCAGGGAGAGCTGGGAAAGCATGTCCTTATTTTCCCACTCCCTGCCCTGCTTCCCCTCTCCCCCAGGGCTTTGCTCCAGATCGTGCTCTGGCTCCTTTCCAGGGGGACCGGTGGGCAGAACTGGGAGCTTGGGGTGGGATTCTTCCCTCTCCAGCGGGTTCCCGTTCCCAGTGGTGTGGACATGGTCAGTTCAGGCGCCAGAGCGTGGAGTGTGACGTGCTGCCTCTTAAAATGGAGGCCCAAAATAGGCACTCGGAGGAAATGATTCATCTGACCTATTTCTCTCCCCGTCTCTTGCGGCACTGGGGATGTCCGGCCGGGATACTGATAGCTTGGACCTGGGGGCAGGAATTCTGCCCCTAATGTCCCCAGGAAGCAACCAGGCCCAAGCAGACGGCATCAGGGCATGGCTCCATGCCCACTGCCTGGTTTTCCACTCTAGTGCCTTGGGCATTCCACAGGGCACTCAGCATCTCCAGTGTCTGCTGCTTTCCACAGGGAGAAGGGTTGAGGTGGGACCAGCCCCAGTGTGGATCCCGCTGGGATTTTCTCTGCCCTGGTGTCCTGTA